ACTCAAAGTCCATAATAGATCCGCTATTTTGTACAACAGGAGCTATCAACATCCGTAGAGGTTCCATAAAATATGCCCTTGTATGGGCAGTAGCAGGTCTAAACTTATAGACGTTTCTTAGCACCAAATACTCTCTCATCACACTTTTCTTTCTTTCCTCTCCCTCTGCCTTATGCATGCACCAGTCCGCACCTTAAAATTTCTATCTCGGTCACCACACAATACCTTTTAAAATGCACAGACGCGCACGCTGCACATAATACTCGAAAGAGGGTGATGCAGAATATATAGATAGATAGATAGATAGATAGATAGGGAAAATAACCGGATATAAGTGCATGCAAGATATTTTCTGTTGTAGAAAAACCTATCCTATTTCTAAATTCATCTAAATAACAGTGTTGAGTGCGTTTTAAGTATTCGTTTATGATACCATCAATATCCGGTGCTTTGTTATTACTAAGATTATACACGGAGTTTATAAGTTTATAAGGAGTTTAAGAATTTACAAGGAGAAGGCAACAGAGGCACGGGAAGTGATGAACATTAGAAAAGCAGAGTGTTTTGAATAGTGGACAGTGTTACTGGTGCCGCCTGTGTCGGAGAAGATCACTACCACGATCTCAAATTAAATATCTTCAAGCTATGACCTCCCCCCTCCCATTTCATTATGTTATAGGGAAAGGGCTTTACATAAGTTGGACAACTTGTGCCCGATCCCTTTTGTATATTAGATGCAAATAAAAATATGTTTAAATCAAAACTAAGATTACAATTTTTATCAAGTAATTAATGTATTATGTATACAGTTTTTATTTAGTACTAATCACGACAATGCAAAACAAACGCGCCAGTACAGTCGCGTTCTTCCGGCACAGGCAAGTACGAGTACATTCTGTGATGTAAGCTGACAGCTCCAATCGCAACTTCTCGGCCAATTCCGGCTAGGCGCGGAATGCTGACAGCTCCTATAGATGTTAAAAAATCGGGGTTCCCGGAAGTAAAATTGATATACTCTAAATTGAAAACGTTAATACGGACGACCCGGATATATTTTCCAATATCTAATGTAGTTTTTTTCTGGTTTATAGTCTGCATTTATTATACATTTGGCTTCAAACTGTATGCATATAATGTTTTAACTAAACGATTATGGTGAACTGCATTTTATCGTCTTATAAATAATACATGTATGTCCGGATTCGTTTTAAAATTTATAACACACTAGGTCAGATTCAAGAACGTGATAAACGACAGGGAAAAACAGGTGGGTTTTGTTTAGTGGCAATGCCTTTTATTAGGAACATGTAAAAAGAATTGCATAGCTTAAATGAAACACTTCAAATGGTCCAGGAATCGGTGCCAAATAAATATGAAACCAGTCCGCTGAAACTTGCGAGAGCTAGCTGCGATAACGTAGCTATCCTCGGGTTACCGGTTTCCGCGCACTAAGAGGTATCCGCGATTTCGTACTCATATCGGCAGAAAACTGTTGAAATTACGGATGACAGTCATAAACATGTATACAATCTACTAATGGAAACAAAAAACTAGCAACATAAAACTGTATTTTAAAAAAATCAGAACAAACAAAATTTCTCCCGTCGGAAGTAGCCATCATATGTTTCAGCGTGCTATTTTGATTTAGTGTTTAAAGAAAGATAACTTGAATACATTAAAAGTCTACAGTGACCTGCGAAAGAACAAAAGCTTCGTTTGGAATACATTTTTTTTATCTTTGATCGTCAAATTAATTATCAAAACATTTTTTTTTTAAATTTCACATTTTTAATTGATTTTTCAAGATGTCAAATTGAATGAATTCATATAATTTTATAAATTTATTTATTATATGAGTTATATTTTAGTATCTGTTATTTTATTTTCTGCAGTCTTATATTGTTTTTGGTTGATGGTAAGTTATTTCTCATTTTGTTCTGTTTAAAATTGGTGAAAATTGGAAGTTCATTGCATTACAAGGTTTACGTTTCATTGAAAACACTGTTTATCGATATAAGAATGTCTCCTTGGCTCTTCGGAAGTGGAAAAAAATCAGCGAGGAGATGTGGCCTCATTTGCATAGGACGTTTTCGTACATTTGTCAGACTACAAAAAAGACCGGTTCATGAATAAAATATATCACTGTTTTTTCAGTTATGGGCTCATTTTAAGCAAGATAAAAAGTGCATTAAGCAAAACTGCATATTTATGCATGTTTTTTTAATCAATGATTATTTCTTATGTTTTTCGGACGAACTTCCGGTATTTTTTGTGTCGGTTTACAGACGATAGCCAAATGTCTACAATATATTTGTGTTGTATCCAGCAGGTCATGTAATAACGAGATATAGCTTGATAAAATGGCTGCGCCGAAATACATAACGCGCATAAACTAAATGACTAGACTAGGACGAACCCGGGCAGATCGGTGTATGGCCGATGACATAAATTCAAAATGTGAATCAATCGTTAATGTTTCTATTTTTAATTAAGAATTAGATAACATTGATAAAGTGACAGGTAAGTGTGTGCTGACTTGTTAACTGTTAAAGGGGAGACAACACCATTAGATGTTTTCTCCTCTTACTTAATTTATTAACACAGGAGCCTGAAATTCATCAAAAATCGATAATAACAGCTATACAAAACAATTTTTTTTTATACATATAATATTCTTTTTTGTATTACTGTTATTATTAATTTTTGACAGAATTTCAGGCTCCTGTGATCATTATTGATTGCTAAGAGGAGGAAACATTGATTAATTTAAGTAAAGGGGTTGAACGCTATCACAAATGTACATTTAAGTGCAGATTGTTTTATTATAATAATGATACCTTTATAGAAGCTACAGAAGTAGATAGGAACTGCCTCATGTCTATTATTACCATAAATACCATGCACAAAGCTTTGCTGTTCTCCTCAAAACAGAACTAAACAAATAAGTGGAGATAGCACAAATGCATTAAGCTGGGGCCTGTTAGTTTATATGGAACAACCGGTATGTCTCTTATTAAATAAAAAAAAAATCAGGTATAAATCCTGGCGGACCTGCAAAAGTTTATGCAAGGCTTTGTCAAGGCTCGCCTGACAGCAGAATCAGATTACTTTTGCTCCCTGCACCCTTGGAATATCTCATATCAAAATTGAAGGCATATGGCGAGCTATTAAATTGGTGTCGGGTAAGAAAACCTGACCATTTGATAGGCTGATAGCTATCCTTTGAAGATTACAGAGGAGCAACAACCAACTTTAGATCCTGTTAATTTTACCTTTATGCAACTGCAAGAATCTTTTCATGTACATCAAAGGATCAAACTAGTCAAATCTTGCCTCATCCAAAAGGAGGTGCACACTGCGCCTTTGATTTTGCTATGACATATTCCAAGGGTGCAGAGAGCGAAAGAGAGCATAACCCCTGGAGTATTGAGGATGGATGTTCAGTATCTTCATGTACTCGGATACATGAAGAATATATGAGAATCCGAAGGTAATATTTAACCTCTGGATTTCGTAACGGTTTTAGTTAGGATTAGGTCACCTCACTAGCAGGTCCAGAAATAGTCCAAAGTGGAATTTCAAATTAAGAAAAATGTCAAAACTACTTGACCTTCTGTTTGTAGTTTTTAGCTCACCTGGTCCGAAGGACCATGGTGAGCTTATGCCATACCGCAGCATCCATCGTCCGTCAAGTCCGTCGTCCATCCGTCAACTTTTCCTTTAAAACGCTCCTAGTCCTGAACGGCCTTGTAGATCTTGACTAAATTTGGTCTGGAGCATCCTTAGACCAAGGGGACTCAATTTATAAATGGTGGGTGTGACCCCCCTGGGGGCAGAGGGGCGGGGCCAAATAGGGGAAATAGAGGTAAAACCTTCAAAATCCTTCTCTTACCGTAGGGATTATCCTTATTTAGTCTAGAGCATCCTTGGGCTAAGGGGACTCAATTTTGTATAAACCGTGGGTCTGGCCACCTCCCAGGGGCCTGATGGGCGGGGCCAAATAGGGGGAACCATAGCAAATTATTCTTTGAAATCCTTCTTCTGTAAGAATGAAAGGATTTGGTCCATGTTTGGTGTGGAGCATCCTTGGGTAAAGGGGAACCAATTTTGTATAAAAGGTGGGTGTGGCCCCCCTGGGACCTGAAGGGCGGGTCCCAATAGGGGAAATAGAGGTAAAACCTTTATAATCCTTCTACCATAGGGATTTAGGGATTTTATCCTAATTTAGTCTGGAGCATCCTTGGGCAAAAGGGACTCAATTTCGTATAAACAGCGAGTGTGGCCCCCCTGGGGGCAGAAGGGTGGGGCCCAATAGGGGAAACATAGCAAATTCTTCAAATACCTTCTTCTTCTTTACAAATGACAAGATTTTGTCCAAATTTGGTATGAAGCATCCTTCGGTGACGGGGAACCAATTTTGTATAAACGGTGTGTCTAACTCCCCTTGAGGCAGAGAGGCTTGGTCCAATTTGGGAAATAGAGGTAAAACCTTTAAAATCCTTCTTCTACCATAGGGATTAAGGGATTTTATCATTATTTAGTCTGGAGCATCCTTTGGCCAAGGGGACTCAATTTTGTATAAACGGTGGGTATGACATCCCCCCCCCCCTAGGGGCATGGGGGGGGGGGCTCTGTTTGAAGTTTGTTCTCGTTATATCTCAAGTTCTGGATAGATCTTTCTGAAATTTCATATGTACTTACAGCACCTACCATGGAGTGCTATATCTTTACCTCATTCCATTTATTTTAAACATATTCAGGTGAGCGATACAGGCCCTCTGTGCCTCTTGTTTTCAATTATCAGGCCACTGGGATATATTTTTTGGCCCCAGATCGATGCTGGTGGAACCTTTCTGGATCCATTACTGTACCATATTATTGTATCGAACAATTTATCGTTCCAGGTCTCAGATTTATCAGTTTCTGCCATTCAACCTCCTTCCTGTAACCATGGCTAATATCGCCAGAACCATTCTGTGTTGGATACTCCCACTGATGTTTATTATGGCAGGAGCCATGAAGCTTTATCCATTTTTTCCTGGAGTATACAAGGAAATGGTAAGATGTTCCTTCATCTTAAAGGGTCTTTTTCTCGCTGCTATGAGACTGGAGCCTGTTGCTGTAGAATTGGAGGGGGGGGGATATATATACGCGATGCCCCATACAGGGATCATACGGTTTATGGGTAGTTTCTCCTACAGAAGAAAATTTCCCTGTTCTTTTAAATTCCCTCTATGTGCTTCAAAATTCCTGTATTTCAACAAGAAAATAGTGATTTCTCTTCAAAATATTTCCCCTGTATATGTTTTCTTTAACGTTCAACAGTTAAAATGCATAATACTGCAATACAATGTATATATACATTTTCTTCACATAATTTGAATAAAAATTCTACAATTTTAAGCTAAAAATTGTTTATAAATTGAAACATACTGCACACATGTTTGTCGGACAAAATATTTATCTTTTACCTTCATTTATGACACTATAGCCTTGTATCAAAATTTTAATTTCCCTCAAACTTAAAGTCAAGTTCTGCTGGGCCGATTGAACTGAAAGTTTGTAGGAATGATTGACTCATAGTCCTGACAAAGTGTTGTTATTTTTCGGGTCGATCAGAAATCCAATATGGCCGCCACGGCCGCCATTTTGAAAAACTATTTCAAACTTAAAGTCAAGTTCTGCTAGGCCGATTTAACTGAAACTTTGTAGGAATGATCGACTGTGGTCCTGACCAAGTGTTGTTATTTTTCGGGTCGATCAGAAATCCAATATGGCCGCCACGGCCGCCATTTTGAAAACCTATTTCAAACTTAAAGTCAAGTTCTGCTGGACCGATTGAACTGAAAGTTGGTAGGAATGATCGCCTCATAGTCCTGACAAAGTGTTGTTATTTTTCGGGTCGATCAGAAATCCAATATGGCCGCCACGGCCGCCATTTTGAAAAACTATTTCAAACTTAAAGTCAAGTTCTGCTAGGCCGATTTAACTGAAACTTTGTAGGAATGATCGACTGTGGTCCTGACCAAGTGTTGTTATTTTTCGGGTCGATCAGAAATACAATTTGGCTGCCATGGCCACTATTTTGAAAATACCTATTTCAAACTTAAAAACAAGTTCTAATAGGCCGATCTAACTGAAAATCTGTCTAGAAATGATCAGCTCATGGTCCTGACAAACTTAAGTTAACGTTATGCTTAACAATTTTTTACTCAAATTGGTACATATTTCAACAACAAACAAAATACTGTAGGACTGTTAAGGCCCATGGGTCTCCTGTTTAAACTTAAATGACTAGAAATACACTAACTGAATGTCACATAAATCTGCTCTGGTAAGGCTTCTTTACCTTTTCACCACTGTATACCACAATGGACTTGTCCAGATCAATGCCTGGTAGAGTTTACTAAAGTTACATAGAGGTGAAAGGGTTAATTTGAACAACTTCAGGTTGATGAACATATTCTTTTATTTCCTTCAGTGGTTGTATTGATGTTTATTTTGAAAGTGTTTTTATAAATATGATTTTTAGCTCACCTGGCCCGAAGGGCCAAGTGAGCTTATGCCATGGTGCAGCGTCCATCGTCCGTCTGGCATCCGGCATCAATATTTTACTTTAAACAACTTCTTCTCAATAACCAAAAGGCCTATGATGATGATATTTGGCCAGAAGCAAACTTGGATGAAGGGCTACCAAGTTTGTTAAAATAAATGACCTTTACCTATTTTCAAGGTCACAGGGGTCAGATATGTTAAAAACTTTAAACAACTTCTTCTGAATAACCAAAAGTCGAAGGATGATGATATTTTGTCAGTAGCATGCTGGGATGAAGGACTACCAAGTTTGTTCAAATGAACTCCAACTTCTTCTCAATAACCGAAAACCCTAGGATGATGCTATTTGGCCAGTTAAGCATGCTGTGATGAAGGGCTTCCAAGTGTATTGAAATGAATGACCTTCATCCATTTTCAAGGTCACAGGGGTCAATTGTCTTAAAAAGTCTTTAAACAACTTCTTCTCAATAACTAAGAGACCTAGGATAATGATATTTGGCCAGTAACATGCTAGGATGAAGGGCTACCAAGTTTGTTCAAATGAATGACTTTTATATATATTAAAGGTCACAGGGGTCAAATATGTTAAAAACCTTTAAACAACGTCTTCTCAATAACCGAAAATCCTAGGATGATGCTATTTGGCCAGTAGCATGCTGTCATGAAGGGCTACCGAGTTTGTTCAAATGAATGACCTTGACCAACTTTGAAGGTCACAGAGGTCAAATGTTTTAAAATCTTCAAACCACTTCTTCTTAATAACCAAAAGGCCCAGGGTACTGATATTGGGCCTGTAGCATGCTGGGATGAATGACCTTGACCCACTATCAAGGTCACTGGGGTCTGATGTCTTAAAATCTTCAAACGACTTCTTCTCAATAACCAAAAGGCCAAGGGTACTGATATTGGGCCTGTAGCATGCTGGGATGAAGGGCTACCAAGTTTGTTCAAATGAATGACCTTGACCCACTTTCAACCTAATGTCCTTGTTCGACATTCAAGGACACAGGCTTCATGTTTAAATCCTTTAATAGGTTCTTCTGAATCAAACACTGATATTCTGCCTGTAGCTGTATTTTAGTCCACTTTTCAGATTACAAGTGTGAGATTAGTACCAGGTGAGCGATGTAGGCCCCTTGGGCCTCTTGTTATAATATACTAGAAATGTCATTTAGATTAAAAAAAAATGTGTATTTTATGTTTCAGGTAAGCAAGTTCAAAATCTACAACAAAGCCTTTCCCACCGCTTGGGTGGGATACTCACCAGACCCAGACTTGTACCGAATATTTGTCGGATCCATGGAATTATCAAGTGGCCTGGGAGTTCTACTGGGCCCCACAGGTCTAAGAAAGATGGGATGCTGCATCCTGACTGTGATCATGATAGGGGCAATCTTTACACATTTCTTCTTCCTGGAGTTTATCCCCAGCCTCGTTCCCATCGTGTACATGACCTGGACATTATATGTACTTTGGGCCGACATGCAGAATGAGGCCAAATCAATCAAGACAGACTAGGGACATTTTGTCTCAAGTTCATGACATTGCACCTCGCCTTTCAAAGTGCTAATGTATTATATTGATGCCAAAAGAAAAAATATGTGTGTTTCCTTTAACAAGTTTGAAATACCGGTATAAGGGTATACATAGAAACTTAGGTAAAAAAGTTAATTTTAGAAATGTATACGGTTGATGTAGGAGAGTGACCGTGTCATTAACAGTGCTTATTTGAATGGTTTAAATAAGTTTAGGGCAAGCACAAAAAATTGGGTAGGTAAAACAAATGTTTTTTGTTTGGCCTTATTCAAGACAAATGTATGTCTGCAGTATTTTTGATAATTGATAAAGTAACTTTGCCTTTTTTAGATTTAATTCTGTTTCATTGCTTGAGTACTTTGTTAAAGCTGTAATATTTGTCCATACCGGTACATGTATATTGATATTTCAAATGTGTATACTTCTAACCATGATCAGATTCACTACATTTTATTATGGGAGGTGGGTAAAAATAAAAACATACAACATTTGATATAGTGCCCTATCTAGCTTGAATGGAAGCCACTCGAAAGCTCTTTACAGTACATATATATACAATTTACACGATCAATACAATTAGCATACACATTAATCAATACAATTTTTGAGGAATTCGCAGGAGCTGCCTAATCAAGCGATAACTAGCTACTAGTCCTATGCCACCTGGCTAATATCTCCCTATGTGTGTATATGTCTGCATGTGTGCTGGAGATATTGTGTTCTGTTTGTAGTGGAACTGTGCTTCCAACGGCATCATTTATAGGTGTATGGTGTAGGGTAGGATGGGATGTGTGTATAGTAAGCTTAGGCCATGATTTTGTACATGTATCTCATGTTGGTTTTATTCGATTGAATAATAGAGCAACATCATGAACATGTAACACTACCAACATATAAGTTTAAATCTCATTGATTATTGATCTATTGATACATGTATATGTTNGGGGGGGGATAATGGAAACAAAATTGATTCAGTTAAAGACACCTGCTATGAGAATAGAGAGTTTTTGTGGAATATTTGAGAGAACAAATTTAGCAGTGAGAGAGTTTAAAATAACATTGCCATACTTTTTCATGTAAATTTCATCTTTTATAAAAAGGTCACATATTATTTTATTTTTGTAGAAATTATATAATACTCATATATATGGATGATACAAGTAGATTAGTTTTATCCTTTTATGAATGCCACGTCATGGTAACAGTAAAATTGCCCAGCTTTGAAGTTGGTATTGCTCCATAAATTTTGCAAAGATTTATGTTCAAACGGTGGGATGGTGCAGTGGATAACACATTCGCCTTTCACCAAGGCGACCAGGGTTTGATTCCCGGAGCGGGCGTAAAAAAGTATGGGGTAACTTGCCCGACCAAGTGGGTTTTCTCCAGGTTCTCTGGCTTCCTCCTACATAAAGACCTGACGGCCAACATGATTATGATTTTAGGAAATGCTTATTTTGGTATAAGATTTTACATGACCAAGATGTACATGTTCTTAATCAATATTTTAGCTATGTTAACCAGGTTTCTACCCGAACTACACATTCTTTTAACAGCAAAGATTTATTAAAAAGGCATACCTGCAGAAGCTTTTATAGATGTGAGTATTTTATGGACCAATTTAGAAAGCTTACTCCATATTTTTACCTAGTTGGTGTCTTTTACCTGCAGATAATGTTTTAGATGTGACAAATAGATTTATACTTTAACTTGTCATATGTTAATCTAAATATATAACCCTGTCTAAATAAAAGATTTTATGATTATTTAACAAGAATGAGAAGTTGATATTGTTGTAAGGTAAATAAAGTGAAAGATTTTGTTTAATAACCATTGAACAAATTCCGGTTAGGCTGTTTAGCATTTGTAAAACAAAAACACATAAAGACTTTTGAGGCTTTTGACTACCATGACAAGTGTTTGGTACATCAAGTAGAAATGTGATAACAGTAAGATATTTTGAGACTGGGACAGGATCAGATCTACTAAACCTCATCTCATCTAACATTGATAGAATCATAAAAATTGTATATAAGTGTAAATGTTTTTTGTGGTTATTTTATTTTAATGTTAATTAGCCAATAATATTGCCTGCAAAGTTTTCATCACATATTGATTTGTGTTTTGATGAATTTAAAATGAACAGTATTCAATAGCGTGGGAATACTGTAAATATGTTATATACCGAGACATTTTTTGCGGAAATTCAATTTACGCCTTTTTCACCCTCAATGAGGGTGAACCACAACACAATATACAAAACAATTGATTGTGACGGGTGAAATTAACACTGGGCAAGTATGCAAAGGCGAAGGTTTCACTGTACAGTGTATACAGTATATAATGGCCGTTCCCATCTGTAACATTTGTAGGCGTAGGGCGAAGGTTTCACTGTACAGTGTATACAGTATAACGGCCGTTCCCATCTGTAATACTTGTAGGCGAAGGGCGAAGGTTTCACTATACAGTGTATACACTATCAGTATATATAATGGCCTTTCCCATCTGTAACATGAAGTATGATTCTATTGCCATGTTTATTAGCCTTGCTCAAGTCAAGATTTTAAATGTTATTTATTGAGTGAGTTCATTGTTGAAGTGTTTGAATGATTGTTGATGTTCATAAAAGTTTAATTTCCTTGTATCTGCAAAGGTACCTATACTGGTCAGAACTAGGTTTTATTGATTACTATGTCGACATATATTGAAGTCCTAGGGTAGAGCCAACACCGAAGTGAGTAATGGCGGAAAGATTAGTCCCAGTGTCCTTAGCTTGATACCAACATATAGTGTATACATATACAATCTATTTTATATACAACAATATATACAAGTGTATGTATATAGCAATCCATAAAAATTGAGAGCTGTACCTGTGTCCTGCATAATATTGCTCCCTATACTCTTGTTGAACGTTGTTTTTTTTTGAAAATTGGGATACAGACATTTCCCTACTCAGTGGTTTTTGGTACTGAGACGTTTCGGTACTTTCAAAATTTGTTATGATATTCAGATTTTCGGCACTTGTGGACTACAGTTTTAACTTCTTTTTGTTTTTCTCGGGGTCCTGTGTGTTGCTGAGTTATATTTTAAGATTCGTAAGTTTTTTTGGCTGTATAAAAAAGAGTATCAATACATTTTATTCTAAGCAATACAAACAATTACCAGGAACTGAAAAGTCTAGAATTCAAATAATCCATTGCACTTCCAGCAGAAGATACTGGTACAAGTGTTTAGATTCACACTGGATTTTCATGCAAAGCTGACCTAGTCAGTTTATTTAANGGTTCTTATGAAATCTTAAGATTACAAGTGTTAGATTAATAACAGGAGAGCGATGCAGGCCCATTGGGCCTCTTGTTTTATAATGTTCTGTGCAACAGACTACAGCAAATAATGTTAAATAATTATTGAGATTGATTTGTAAATGAAGGTTTTTTTTGGTGTGAAAGTGTGTTAATTCTTTTTTTTTAATAAAATATTTTACGAAATAATAAAATACGATTCCCGTTTAAGCTTGTGAATGTATTTATTAGCTCACCTGGTCCAAAGGACCAAGGTGAGCTTATTCCATACCGTGGCATCCGTCCGTCATCTGTACGTCAACAATTTTTTCAAATGACTTCTTAACCACTGATTGGAATTTAAGTAAATTTGACTGGAAGCATCCCTAGGTGGTGGGGATTCAAAATTATACAAATGGTAGGGTTAACACCCCAGGGGGCTGAGGGGCGGGGCCAAAAGGGGGCAATTTTGCTATAAACGACTTCTTCTGTATAACTGCAATGGATATCAATCATATTTGGTCAGAAGCATTCATGGGAGGCGGGGATTCAAAATTGTGCAAATGGTGGGGCTGACCCCCAAGGGGGCTGAGGGGCGGGGCCAATAAGGGTTATTTGGCTATATTGCTTTAAGCAACTTCTTCTCTACAACTAACAGATAGACATTAACCATATTTGACTGGAAGCATCCCTAGGTAGTGGGAATTCAAAATTGTACAAATGATGAGGCTGACCCCCAAGGGGTCTGAGGGGCGGGGCCAAAAGGGGTCAATTTGGCTATATTGCTTTAAACGACTTCTCCTCTGGAACTAAAAGATGGATATCAACCATATTTAACTGGAAGCATCCCTAGGTAGTGGGGATTCAAAATTGTACAAATGGTGGGGCTGACCCCTGAGGGGCGGGGCCAAAAAGGGTTATTTAGCTATATTGCTTTAAGCAACTTCTTCTCTACAACTGAAGGATGGATATCAACCATATTTGACTGGAAGCATCCCTAGGTAGTGGGGATTTAAAATTGAACAAATGGTGGGGCTGACCCCCCAGGGGGCGGAGGGGTGTCGCCAAAAGGGGGCAATTTGGCTATATTGCTATACATTACTTCTTTTATAGAACTATGCACTGGATATCAATCATATTTGGTTGGAAGCATTCATGGGAGGCAGAGATTCAAATTGTACAAGTAGTGAGGCTGACCCCCTTGGCTAAAGGGAGGGGCCAAAAATAGTTTATTGCTTGGAAATGGTTGAGATCCCCACCCTATAACCATACATGTATATATATACAATTGCTGAGTATGAAGAGAAGAATGCACATATGTTTCCAGGATTGCCCAGGGGTCTGGTCCCACCATTGGAGACATACATGTAGTCCCTGGGTCATAACTTTGAAACGGTTGAGATCCTCTCCCCAAAACTGTATATACAAATGCTGGGCATAAAGAGACAAATGCAGTCAAGATATATGAATTGACCCCAGGGTCTGCTCGACCCTTGGAGACTTAACCCCTAGGTCATAACTTTGAAACGGTTAAGATCTCCACCCAAAACTATATATACAATTGTTGGGCATAAAGACACGAATGCAGTCATGATATTAGAATTGACCCTGAGGTGTGGCCCACCCTCGCAGTCTTAAGCCCTGGGTCATAACTTTGAAACAGTTGAGATCCCCACCTCAAAATTGTATATACAAATGCTGGGCATAAATAGACAAATGCAGTCATGATGCATGATCATGGGGTCTGGCCACAACCCTAGGGACATTGTTTCTGAATCACACCTTGGGAACAGTTGAGATCCCCACCCCATAACCATACATAAAATTGCTGGGCATGAAAAATCTAATACAGATATGATACAAGGATTGGCCTTGGGGTCTGGCCCATTACCTTGGATCTTACATGTATTTGGAGAATATTTTGCCATGATTACTCTTGATATCCAGGTGAGCCATATAGACCCTCTGGGCCTCTTGTTAACGATCCCTGTACCTCTAATAAAAACTGTGCATTCAGGGAAACTCTTTATTCAGACATGACTATAGCTTTAATAAATCATTTCTGAAAAGTAAATCATACCATACGCGACTTTTTATGAAGAAGAAAAAATAAAGAAAAAGAAACCCAAGAAGGTAGGAAATTCACCAGATCTGAAAGAAAACAGTCAAGAGTCCCAGATAAATAAATCGGCAATCACAGACCATGTCACACAGAAAAACCATGTGATTGACTGGGATAACGCCAAAGTTTTGGATAGAGAGAGCAATCTGTTCAAGCGGCAGATAAAGAAAGCCATCTGGATACCCCGCAGTGGACCAGCTCTAAATCGAGACGAGGGGGCTCAAAGACTCTCGCACATCTATGACCAAGTGTTAACAAAGCGTAGCTGAATTGAGTCATTTCGATACATTTATAACAACTATTGTACATTTTACACCTTTGTGTGCTTACGCTTCATTGGTCATTTGTCTGATGCAGGTGACAGTGCACATATCGTACTAGTCATCGAAACGTCACATAGAAAAATGTATTGGTTGTGTAAAAAGAACTTCTCATAATCCATACCAACCTGAAGGAAATGTTTAGAAATATCAATTAAGGGATACGTATCCTTAAAGTAATCATGTAAATTTAAATTCGTTATATGCATCTGTTCATGAATAGAGATAATACCACATGGCCATTTGTCAGTAACATTTGGTGATTGGTTTCATTTGAACGGTGGTCTGGTAGCACAGTTGCCTTTCATCAAAACGGCCGGCGTTTGAATCCCTGATCGGACATGAAAGGTATAGGGTCACCTGCCCAACCAAATGGGTTTTTCTCCAGGTATTATGTAATACATGTTGGCATACCTGTTTGTAAAAAGTACGTAAATGATTGAACGACACTCAATGGGAATATGTAATACATGTAAGTTTGCATACACAATTTTGTAATACCAACGGGCATAGATACAGCATTCCGTGGTAATTATGCTTATAATTCTATTTTCACTATGAATGTTTGTATAAATGTATCACATACATGTGATTTTTTGTTCCACACATAGTGTGTCTGAATGTAAATAAAATATTAAAATCTTGGATTCCTCCCATATAAAGATAATCTTGCGGCCGGCTTCCATCAGGGCAATCTAATTAAAATTATATCTTCACATCGCTCCCGTTTACTGATACAGTCGAACCTCGTTATCTCGAAATCGACGGGATCGTTGGGAAACTTCGAGTTATCCGAGTATTCGAATTGACCGAGTTCATGTGTTTGGCATAAAGCTTGGTAAAGTGTTTGGTCCAATATGAGGCTATATATGTCATTGAATTCTCTGACAATCAACGTATGTAAACAGTCGATAAATGACAAAAAGATAACTATATAAAATAAAAAATAACAACATATTCATAATCATATTCATTAATTCATTAATGTTACAATGTATGTCGAGAAGATACTATTTCTCGTTAACTGAAAGGGCCGATCGATGGGCCCAATTGATCTTCGGATTAAATAATTTTGGGCTATACAAATGAGGGAACAGTTACCAAAAAAGAATATTTGACAAGTTTTGACGGAGCAAAAAGCTTTGTGACGTATGACTATGAGTGTTACACATATAATAAAATGTTCAACCCCTGGGAGTTTTGACCCTGTCTCGTGAAATCAAGCGAATTCCGAGAAAGTTCGTTTGAATATGATATCCAGGCTTGAGCATGAAAACGGTTTCACCACGGACTAATCTTATTCCGTGGTTTCATGAATCTGCATAGCATAAACATACATGTAGCATCCACATAGGGGAGGGGATCGCCTCGTTATGTTCGTCAATGCTATTTAAGTACTTGCTGGGATTTTATTTAGTAATTCCGATATCACGGTGACGTGATGGACCTTACATTAGCTAAGATGCAAATAGTCGATTTTATTTTTGAAATTTTATATGGGGAAAGGGAGGGNNGGGGGGGGGTCATGGAAAGGAATGATTTTTGATTCATGTGCATTTTCGAGTAGTTTAAATTGAAACTAACGCATTGCGAATTATGACACGGCATTAACTTGAACATGGGATGCCATTAATTATTCAAAAGAGATAATATGTACTATAGACCACAGGGACCTGTAGAATTTATTACAGTACTATTTGGACCTAAACTGAGGTGTTTAGGAGTCATTTTACACGTTTTAGCACGGAATTAGATTGCTATCTATATAGTCCGTCGTGGTTTTAAACCCCTAAAGAGTGTATGATCTGAACTCATAAAACGTGTACAATTACCCTGAACATCTCATTTTAGGTCCAAATATAGCTGTAACAAAATAGCATGTCCCTGTGGTCTAGATGTATATTTTCAGTTTCTTTACTGTCCTTTCAAAAACTTTGAAGATAATGAAAATAGTGGGGGTATCAAATGAGGAAGAAAAAATAACCATCCAGCTCACAATTGCCCATGAGAAGAGGAAGTTCAGAATGCCATACACATTCATAGTTGACCGCCCCTCCAGGCCAGCAGTGGTCAACACCCACCCAAACACATAGTCACAGTGCTACATATAGTGCGCTATTATATACGTTGAACTGGTCAGTTTGATTTGATGGATGTCATTCGCCTCTGGTCATCGCGGCGTACCCGTGTGTCCTATAGACTGGTCAAAATCTTCCGGCTCCAGTCGTGTGCGATATATATTTCTACAGACTTACCTGGACGTGTACAAACAATCGGACAAGAATCGCCAAAGAGGTAAGGTTGTATTGTTACTCCACGCCAAGCTATACCAACTCTATGCAATTCACTTTGTACTGGTACTGCACTTAGAATACAAACAGGTGTATAGTCATTGTAATACTGTGTAAAATGTATAGCAGGATCAGATAGATATGATATCCGCATCACCCCGACACCATTCTACTTCAGTGCAATGTTCACTAGCCTAATTTTATCACGACAAATTAAGTATTTTTTAAAAATTAAAACCTTTCCAAGATATGTCTATAAATATGAGTATTTTGGTTATTTTGCTATAACATGATAATTTGAAATTAAAATAACTTGGCATTTTGTTTATAATTTAAACCTTCCGGTGGGGCTACTTTTGACTACTTTCTACCGTTGCGCCATACGCATTTTTGTCGTTGGGTTGTTCAAAATAGAGTAAAACAAACAGTGAGTATATCGTTGAAAACATTTAAGTTTGGCCTTGTCTTTCATTCAACGTATGAAGATCTAAACATACATATGTTACATTACACCTAAAATCAAATTATAAATAAAATCAATGCTTTAAAGCATGTCTTTAAAATAAGATATGGATTTATGCGTTTGTTTTCGTTTGGTGGCGATCATTTTGAATCTGATATCCTTCAAAGGCATTTAATACACGTCCTAGTTCTAATTATACCTGTTACTTTTTTTTTTTAATTTTATAAAATATAGTCTGGTTTGATAACTATCATTATGTGCTACCTGTGCGAATTTTAAAGACTACAATTGTAACCTTTAACGGAGGTTATTACACAGATTTATTAACACGGATGCCGTATATTAACCGAGGAAGAAGTGCGTATTTAGAACAGGTACTACATGTATGTACACACCAGATACGTGGATGTCACGTGACGTTATTACAAAAGTGGAATATGCTCGTTGAACTAAATGACGATTCTTTTCTTCAAGGTCAATTAAAGTTCATCAAGGTCAACCAAAGTTCGTCAAGGTCAACCAACATGGCTCAGCTAGCATTACACGCGCTGACCGGGTTTCTGTCCCTGGTATACATAGCTATGGGGGTCGTCAAGCTGTATCCAGTATCACAACAAATGGCGTTCGCTGTTGTAAGTATATTTAATGTATTTTATGTTGATTGTAATCTTTTGATCTGAAACTTTACACAATCGGGAACCGTCGGTACTTTCCGTAAACGAGAAAATAATACTCCCGAGGTATTTTCTCGATTACGGAAAGTAACGACGGTTCCCGATTGAAACTTTACAGTGTATTTCGGTCGTATAGACAAAGACTTAGTGTTGACAAAGAAAAAAATACATGGTTAATGTGAAGTTTTCTGACATCGAAAACTCGATTCAAATACAATGTATTCATGTTTTTTTTAGTTTAAATCAATTTTATTGCAACAAAAGACAAATGGATTGGACAAAAGTTATTGCAACTTAGTACGTCCTTTCCGTAACAGAAAATATATATACAAAATTAATGAGTCTCGTAATAACCTAATACAAATTCATATATGTATATATATATAAGATGTTAAAGATGGGTAACAGCAAAAGAGGGAATGATAGGATTAGGGACACCAACGTATAGTTTTAAAATATGTATTCGGAGAGTTTACTTGAGATCGCGTGTGTGATTTTCCCAATCGAGTCCGCGTAAGTAGTATAACTAATCTATACACACATATCCTTCTGCTTTTCTGTATTCATGTGCTTAGAAGATAATGCATATATATGCATATCGGCATTTATTTGGTCATATTGCACATCTTAAAGTGTTTGTAAGAAAGCAACAATTTTATCAGTTTACATATAAAACATGCGTTTTAAGTGGTTAGAGTTGTACAGTGGGTGGAATCTTATTTACTGCGTGCTCGTTTTCTAATATATCTACGTAAAATTCACCAATGAAATCATTTTCTGGTTCCCAACCGCCTGTGTTCGCTCTGATTCACAACCGCCTGTGTTCGCTCTGATTTACAACCGCCTACGCCTCGTTCTGTTATAGTAATTAAACGTTATAAAAAAGTGATTTTTTGGCAGGATGATGTAGTGCGATAAGTAAAACTAAATTCCCACACAGGTGTTTGCTATAGAGGTGGAGCCGATGTAGAGGTGGGGCCGATGTAGACAGGTAGAGCCGATGTAGACAGGTAGCAGTGTGGTTTGTTGGTAGTGGTTTGTCCTACATTCATTATAGAATCTTTTTTATTAACGGAGATTTGAAAATATAGAAACAATGAAGGAATGGAGGAAAAATATGACCCCTCTTTAAAAACGTCAACATTTTTAGAACGTGTTGGCAAATGCATTAATTGATGGGCATTATATATACTCATCCTACAGTTCTACAAAGTTTTGTTGTTTGGTTTTTAATATTTATACGTGGACTTGTCGACAATGTTTAGTTTTTGACAAGTGAACAAAGCTAATAGATAATACTAACATATCAGGTTACCTTAAAGAGCAATGACGCCGAGTTTGAACTGCAAATGACGACAAAGGGCGTTCCTATTTATAGAATGGTCAGTGTTAGTAGTACCATGTAGGACTATCGGTGATATGGTCATGACTAACGTTTTAAAATGTCTTCAGTTGATGGCTTATTAGCAAATATCGTGCATTATCATGTTATTGGTGAAAATTGAACGTGTTAGTATATTTAGGGATGGTGCGGCGTCTTTTTGGTGTGTATTGCAAGGCATTTTTGGATGGTGTGTCAATAGTTGGCTGTTTGGAAGTGTCTGTCGGCATATATCGTTAATGGTAGACGTTGGTCTATTGTCTAGGAATATATGGACACATATGTTGCAATGGTGCAATTACTTCTGCCGAAGTGTTCAAATAACTCTGGAAATAGGTCGTTATAATGGTAAGCGTTTATCTGTTACCGAAGAATATCTGGAAATATGTTGTTTGTGTAAGTGTTGCAATTTTGAAGTATCGCTGGATAGTGGATATACACAGTCCTGTGCCAAATAAGAGGTAACAAACTACTTTCCTGCATATTTCAAGATTTCTACATCTTTTCAGTGAATTAAGTCATGAAACGAAAATTTGCAACATGAAACAGAATTGTTTAAACTTTTCTCTCACAATATTTGTTTTTCCCGCTTAGCGGTTTTTAAGATGTGGCAAATCATTCAAAGGACATTATTTCTGTTGTGCCAGTTTGTTCTTTATCTTTAGAAAATTTTATATCTAGCCCGGGGTTATCTTTTTTTTCAAATTTAAAAAAACGTATAATGAAAAAAATAACAAGAGAAAAAATAAGACGAATTTCTTTATGAGGCAAATTTTTTGTTTCAGTAGAGTTACACTTGTACAGTGATTTCAGGAAAGTTTATTGAAATGATGAAGAAATGCATGAAAAGTACAGGAAAAACACGCTTGTGACACTCGATTTGACACAGAACTGAGACTGTATGTCCAGATATACTTCAAAATCAAAACAAAAGTCCTAGTAGTCCTAATAGCAAAACCGTTTCCAGATATTCTGAAAACAATGGTCGGTTTTGCTGTTTTTGAAGTTTCTTAGGGTGTTTTATCCTCATCTTGTATGTTTCCCCGTCGTCTTTAGGTATTGAAATGCTGTGCTAAAGTATCTGTGGGCATTTTGTATCTGATGTAGTATTTTCTCGCTTTGTTTCAGCAATTTCGCTGTATGTTGTACGCGTCTGTGTTTCCCAGCGCGTGGTTAGGATATACGCCAGACGATGGCTTGTACCGGATACTGACGGGCATGTTCGAGTTGTCTTGTGGACTCGCTATGTTGTCATGGGACCGGGAACTACGCCTGGGAGGCTGTGGGGTCCTCGTGGCGATCATGGCTCTCATGGTCTGGTCAGGGCTAGCACTAGGAGACTACTTTTTTGTCTTCTTTTATGTTGCCGGTTTACTCCTTCTGTCCTTTGTGTTTGTGAAGTTTTGGAAACAGAAGCAGGACTGAGTTGAATTCTGGTGTAGAACTGATTAATTCCTGCAGTACTAGACGCATTTTTCAAAGGATGATATTTTGTAGCGTTTTCTAGCTGGGTCAGGATCGATCAGATGCCGATCAAGACATCATTGAATGCAAACGCACAGCATTGGAAACTGGACGTGTTCCTGTCATATCAGCCATCTACCCATCTCGGTACACTAACATGTGTTCTGGTTAGATCCACACGTACTGTAGATTCGAATTTTGTGTCTTGTTAAAAGTATTTAGAATACTGCAAATAACTTAACTTTTGCGGATATTTATTTTCGAATCTATTTGTCCAATGACATAACCACGAAGATTTGAATTCACAAAAGGAAACCGAACGCTCGTTTTTTCTGTTTTCTTGTGCCAGAATACAAATACAAATTTCTGGATATTTAAATAAGTGATCGCCTTTCTTCGCGAGCTAACGCGAAAATTTATTTTTCGAGAAAACAAAGTGATCTACAGACAGTATTGTTTGTGAAGTCAGTTTCGCTACAATTATAAAGTATTTGTTGTTATATTTTCACTGACTGCAATTAAAAATTCAATGATATCATACAACATTTATATTTATAAATACATGTATACCTCTAATATATTAGATAAATAAATAAAAGAAGTTTATGTAAAAAAAAACCACTTTTGTTATTATGATCACCATGCATGCACCTCGAAGTATATCTCTATACATTGTTGCTACACACTTCCAGGCTTATAAATTCGTCTTTTGAATGAAGAATAAAACCAATTTAAAAAGACAACAAAAAAAACCCCACACCAATTTAACTAATAATTGATTATTTTGGCTGAATGTTAGGAGCTTGACAAAACAAAAAATTGACGTTTCTCAGTTCTATAAACTCGATAACATGTATTAATTAATCAAAAATGGTTTGTTTAATTCAATCATGAAATTTAAAGGAATTTTTTTTTTAAAAGATAAAGATCAATTCCCGCTAAAAATCCTATTCTCGGAAAACTTGTAACGAAAAATATTTACAAAAAAATAAATCAGTTTTGCTATGAATTTGAGCATTTAGGCGTAGACGGTGAATGTATTGCACAGGGAAGATTCATTCGAATACGTGTACTATGTTGCTTAGTATATAAAACATTCTATATTTCTTTCGTATGTCGTTTTGTTATTGTTATTGTGCTGCTTTTTACGGCCCATTGTCAATTTTAAGTTTATCATTTATTCAATTAATATTATTCATCCACGACATTCTAAGGGACTACGCTTATATACGTTCTCTTTGTCCCGTGAATATGTCATGATGAAATCGAAGGCTGTATACAAACCATCTTATGGATGATATAAACAGACCGTTTTTACCTTTTCGTTGTGCATCAAAAGAATCGCGCGGCGACGTAACGGTAAACTCGACTGACTTTACAATCTGGTGTCGATCCTCTGTAATCTTCAAAGTAGCAGCCTAGCGACTGTCTTTTTCACCTGAAATTAAACAAAAAGTTAACCGCTTGCCTTCGATTTCACCATGACATACTACAGGGGTGCAGAGAAACCTATTTGAGGCTATCCCTAGAATTGGATGATATGGGTTAAGTGCAATAAAGAACCGTCAACAATTTCCGTAAACGAGTAAATATTTTGTTTACGGAAAGTGTCGATGGTTCCGATAGGGTTTTAGACTGATGTTCTGATTGCCGTTATATTTTCGCTGATTTACAGACTAGATCGTTCCAAGCCTACGCGAAAGTGTGCCCAACCGTCCTGTTCGGATACATCCCCGAGCCGCAGAAGTACCACATGACTATAGGAGTCTGGGAGGCTTGCTGTGGACTCGCCCTACTGGTAGGGGACCGGGAACTGAAACAAGGCGCTTCCGGTATTCTCCTAGTAATCATGGGCGTGATGATTACATCTAACGTCATCATCAAAGACTACTCGACCATGTTCTTCTTTGCTATGCATTTCTTTTTTCTCTCGTTCCTTTTTGCTAAATATCGTCGGAGGTCGCAACCAGTAAAAACAGAGGAAGAGGAGAATTTCAAGAAGGAATGATCATGATTAGTACATTTAAATAATCATTAAAAAAAGCGCAATGTAAATTTTGAACATTTATAATTTATCCTGGCAAAGACAATATAATATAAAAGGAGCTGGACTTTGGATATGGGCTTCTCTGGTGATCGCTAGGCAAAACAATTATATACATGTACATAAAGTCTCGAAAATAAAAAAAGTTTGATACTTTAGCTGTTCCTCAAGGTTCTGTACTTGGTCGCACTGCATTTCTCCAACATTACGGACTATTTTTTAATTTTGAGTGAAATTATGAAAGTTATAAAGAACACGTCAACATTTTGGAAATACAATCTAGTGGATGTAAATTCTTCTCCGGGAAACATTACCAGGTCAATGATACGTTTAACTCTTCTTGCCAACATAAACGGGAGATTCAAACATATGTTAACCCAACAATCTTTTATGGTCATTACATACGCATGATTTATAACTAACTGCATTACCTTTAAATTAAACCTTCTAAAATATGAATTAAGAATCGTTTTATCAATGCAGATTAGATATAATGGAGGGTTGATATAGTACATATATATTAGGGTGACAGTAGATGTGTATGTGGGTGACTGTAGATGTGTATGTAGTGACAGTAGATGTGTATGTGGGTGACTGTATATGTGTATGTAGTGACAGTAGATATGTATAAGGGTGACAGTAGATATGTATGAGGGTGACAGTAGATGTGTATGTGGGTGACTGTAGATGTGTATGAGGTTGACAGTAGATATGTATGAGGGTGACAGTAGATGTGTATGAGGTTGACATTAGATATGTACAAGGGTGCAAGTAAATATGTATAAGGGTGACAGTAGACGTGTATGAGGGTGACAGTAGATGTGTATGCAGTTGACATTAGATATGTACAAGGGTGCAAGTAAATATGTATGAGGATGATATTAGATATGTACACGGGTGCAGAAGAAATGTATAAGGGTGACAGAAGATATGTATGAGGGTGACAGAAGATATATATAAGGGTGACAGTAGATGTGTATGAGGGCGACAGTAGATATGTATGAGGGTGACAGTAAACATGTATGAGGGTGATATTAGATGTAGTGTAATAAGGACAGTGTAAATACTATTTATTGTCACTGAATTTTTCTGTTGCCTTTGTTTCATATTAAAAAATTCATAAATTAAAACAACAACCTTTATTTCTATGACAGCATTATTTTTTTTATGTGAAACCTGTCAACTGTAACCAGATTTTTGTGTCGCCTGCGAAAAGCTGGTGACACATAGGTATTGCTTTGTCGGTGGCGTCATCGTCCGAACAGAGGTTTCCGTGTGATTACTTAAGTTTTCTTGGGCCGATCAAACTCAAACTTCATGCAGTGCTTCCTTACCAAAAGTGCTTGCTTGGGATTGCTTTTCGGGTCCGAAGGTCAAAGGTCAAGGTCACTGTTACTATAAATAGAAAATCTGTTTTCGTGCGATAACTTGAGTTTCCTTGGGCCGATCAAACTTAAACTTCATGCAGTGCTTCCTTACCAAAAGTGCTTGCTTGGGATTGCTTTTCGGGTCCGAAGGTCAAAGGTCAAGGTCACTGTTACTATAAATAGAAACTTCACTAAAACTGTATACTGGACGGCTTCGATCTGCCACTTGACCCACCGTGTATACCTCTGAAATGCCGTCTTACTCCAAATGTTATTGACAACACGAGCTGTTTAACATCATAATCCACAAGTTTTTTCATTTATTTATGGGAAACCATCCGACAAATCATACAAATTAAACTTGGAATCGAGACAATGAGTATCTATAGCAAGTTCCTTAAAACTCAGAGTATTCTTCCCAGAATAACAGTTTATATAACAAAATGATGCCATCCAAAAACATAATCTATGATTATTGCTTACTTTTAACATTATTTCTTGAAATGAAAAGTGTATCTATTTCTTCGTAATCTCCCAGCTTCCTGCGCAGGCAACACATCCACTTCCGTGGAATTCTTGTTTATTTATTTTTTGGGTTTTTTTTTTTTGGGGGGGGGGGGGGGAGTTTAGAATTTGCTTTGTTGAAAAAGTTTTTTTTTATGGTTTTGAAAGTGACCTTTATTTTGTATGCATGCAATCAAAGAATGAAAAATTCAATTAAATGGGATTTACTTGAATATCAACTTTGTTTTGTTTAATTACATTACGTCACATTTCTTCAGTTTTATGTAAGTTGATGAAGTACATACAATACTGAATAGGAAGAAACATCAGTGTATACAATACTACATTATATAATTAGTTCATGGAGGATTCATGTGGACATGAACACATCAGTTTTGCAAAGATAATGAAAACAACCTATCATACTTGGTCTCATTTTCAAAGTCATCCGATTAAATTCTCAATATATAATAGCTTGACGTAAGTGAGCAATGCCCCAGGAATTAAAAGGATGACCAATGCCATATACCATCAGTGACTAAACTAACAAGCTTACACCATAAATTAGTCTTATTTCATTTATTATAAAATATATGTATATTACAGACATCAAAGGTACATGTATGTGGATCTACAAAACACCCTAAATTTAAATTGTGAAAAAAATGATATTAATGGTCAGCTGACACGAAAAATGGACTTCTCAGAATTTTTCGCACATAATGAAGATTACAACAGAAATAGAGACATTCAAAAGTGTGAGCTTAAATACTCTAAAAAGGGAGATAATTTTTACATTTCATAGACATTGACTTTTCTCTATTTTCCATGTTATTATTAAACCAACTGTCACATCAGCTCTTTGACAAGTACAATACACCAGATAATGGATATCTCTCATTTTCTACCCCCAAATCTCGAAATTTGCCATAGACTCCAAGACTTATTTTTTGAAGTAGACTTATTTTCGAAGCAATTTAGAAGATAAGACATGTACAGCTCAATTTCATGGCTGTCCTACTGCAAAAGCCTTTCCTGAACTGGCCTTGCAATTATAAGTCTTGGTTATGTAATTATATGTTTAAATATGTGTGTATTACTATAGTATATGTTATATTTCAAAGAAGTTGAAGAAAAAACCCCACCTATTATTAGGTGTATTGTAGAAATATTTGGAAATGTAGATACATGCTTTGCAAATGATTTTTCATTGTTGCAAGACATATACAAACAGCATAGTACACTGGTATGTAGTGTATACATGAATAGGGTTAGTGACAACATGGAAAATTATCAGATGACTTATTTTGAAATATACAGAAGGAATCCTAGGCATATTTTCGAGGCCGGCATTTTTTTTTCTCCTTTCAGACTTATTATCAAGATTTCAGGGTGTCACAACCAAAGTTAAAAAAACTGTTAAACCTGAGAAAATAACAATCTTTATAAAAGATAAAAACTTTCGTTTCTCTATCAGTACAAACAATTCAGGGTATGGTCTCTAAATTTTGATATATAGATAAGTAACAAAGTAAATAAGAATATAAGACTGTTTCATGCCCTGGGCTGTATGATATGGAAATTCCATCCAGGCCAAGGAATTTCTGAATAGGGTAAGCCCTGAAGCTTGCCAACAGTTTTGCACCATTTTGAAAACCCTGTGGTTGGAATTTCTCTACCTTACACCCTAGCATGTAAAACAGTATTTTCCCCTCGTTCCAATCACCAGAACTAGTTCAGAAACTACAAAAAGTGTCACTGTTTCCACATCGACACATCAGAATGTTCCCAACTTGGTGAAGTCATGTCATTGTTGTTCCATGGTGACATTAACCACATGATATAGGGAACAAGGTATAAATTTCTTGCACACTTTTCTTTCCTTGCACAGTTCTATCATATGCACACAGGGGTGAGATAAAACACAATTCAAGTAAAAATTGATGGACTACATTTACGTTTGATCAAAAGCTATTCATAAAATCTCACAAAAACGATTGGTCCCAAATTTGTTTGCTAAAAACAGAAACAAATGGATGCCAAGATTAAACTCTGCACAAAAACAATTAACAAACTGCAAGTGATGTTGGGTAAAAAGATTAAACTATACACTGTCATGTCAACAAAGCCCTGCAGTTTGCCTGTGAGGTAATCGTAAAGAGCAGTCACATCAGGTGGTTTTAAAATGTCTTCTCATTATGACACTTATGACACAGAACACAATACATCTCCAGCAAAAACGCAGTCATACACATATAAGGAGATATTAGCCAGGTGGCATAGGACTAGTAGTTTGCTCTCAACAATAGTTTTTATTTTTTAAATTAAATGTTTCATGAACCAGATTCTGTAGTTATATATTGTTAATCTGAAGTATACATTATATATAAATCTACAAGGAAGGATGTTTAAATGTGAACTTGCGTTATTTCTTCATTGATTCAGTGCACACACATACACCTTTAATTAGTAATTTTGTATGTTTCCAAACACAATATGTATTCCTGCTCAACAACAATTTCAAGGAGTGTCTGAAGTTACCGATTATTTATATTTGAACTACCTGGTAATCTCTTTACCCTAAGAAATCCTAACCAGTGAATAAAATAATTAAGAATAAACAGCAAATACTGGAAATTACAAAAAGTGGATTGCCCCTGGAAAAACTTTTACCTAAAGACTTTCATTGGTCCTGGATAAAAATGATAAAACTTGCAAATTGATTTTCCCGTTTTACACATATATATTGCAGAAATATCACAAGTCAGCTTGGATTGAAGTGCGTCACCAATCTTCTGAAATCACTATGGCTGTTTGTTATCTGTCTGCCCCAGACCTAACATCTGAGGATTCCAGAGTTTTCCCATTCTTAAGTCCATGTTTCTCCAGTAAATCTGATGTAGGTCGTAGAGCACTAAAACAAGCATAAAAACACAATTCAGGCACATCACTATAAAGGGAAAAAGGCTAAATAAATAATTTTGTGTTTCCGGTTACCCTACCTACCAACATTTTTCGTGCCAACCCTCACCTTTTTCAGGCCACTGTCAAAGATGCACTTATAAATTTAAGTCAAGAATTAAAAATAACTCCTATTTAAACTGAAATTATTTTTAGAAATAAAATTTGTAACCTTCATGTACCTATCCCAATTTTTTCAAATATGTTACAGGAAACATATTCATTTTTATGTTTGGCCTTGAGTATACTGTAATTTTAAAGGAAAAATACCAGTATGTTTCTGGTTATTGGTACATATATCAGTAATTATATTCCAGGCTCCAAAAAACTAAGACAATTTTTATTTCAAGGATCTCTGTACCACAGAGACCTGAGAATTTGTTACAGCTATATTAGGACCTAAACTAAGGTGTTCAGAGTAATTTTACATGTTTTAGGGGTTTAGATCGACTTTCGGAAAAAAACTTTTTTAATATCAATGAGGTTGACGTCAGCCGCATGCCGAGACCCATGGTGTGATTGGGTGGAAGTGCAAGTTTCGCTAGACCAACCAACAGTGCATACTTCAGCATGCGCTGACGTCAACCTCGTTAATATTAAAAAAAAAGTGTCAGGCTGCGAAAAACTCCGAAATGGTGTGTGTTTTTGGAGGAAACAGAGTTCATGTCCGCAGAAGGAGAATACAGTTTACGTGCATATAGGAGGTTTTTAAAAGAAAAATATTCCATCTTTCCAACAGTACTTAGCATTTTCCCGTTGATCAACTAGAAATGTTGTTTTCCTCCCTTCTTCTTTATATGATCATTGGGGGTGTCATTTTTACTGAAAGTCGATCTAAACCCCTCAAACATGTAAAATTACTCTGATCACCTTAGTTTAGGTCCAAATATAGCTGTAATAAATTCTCAGGTCCCTGTGCTCTGTACCACTGCCAATAACGGCAACTATATATTGAAAAAGGTGTGTTTTTCATCATGACTACCTTAGTATAGCATTGATATATCCTCTCTAAACATGATATAGGGAAAATAATAAAGACTACATATGTAATTGTAAATAGAGAATAATACATGCCTTTTTCCATATCACACCCAGTATCAACCCGAGACTGCAATATCAGCCCAAGGGCCGAAGGCACGAGGGCTGATATTGGTCAAGGGTTGATACTGGGTGTTATATGGAAAAAGGCGTGTGTTTTATTCTGTTTATTACATACCTACTAAAAACTACTATCTTATGATTTATTTTTATTTTTGAAATATTGAAAAACGTTTTTTTTCCCCAAAAGGGGTGTGATATGGGTTTTGCGGGCTGCTACAGGTTTTGGGGTGTGATACGGCGAGGGCTGATATGGGTAAGAGCAATTGTGTCGTATCGCATATACAAAAAACCCGTATTTATTAGTAAGTATGTATTAAATTAATTTATACAGACAATAAAAATCTGTTTGGCAATTAATCACTGAAAAATGATGATAAATCAGTGATTATACTTTCCTTATGAAATAAATCCCTCAACGGTCACCCAAATGCAAAAGAACTCTTATGAGCATAATATTTTGACCTGGTCATATTGTGCAATATTGAATCCCAACAAACTAGCTATAGTTCGGAACAACCACAAAATATTACCTAACTACACGAAATTAAACAGTATAGTATCAATGTTACTATAGACATCATGTTGGTTTAAATATTATTTGCAGAATGGTATCAGAAGATTTTGTAATACCACATCAATGCCAATGGGAATAGCATAATGAAGCAAATTTTATGTTTTTGTAGAGCTCTAGGGCTGCTTTTGTTTATTGCAATCTTAAAAGTTGGACCAGAGTTGTTCGTTTATGAAATAAGGTCCGACCTGATAATATGATGCTGTTTTGAGGCGAGCCTTAACAAAGCCTAGAAGGCCTGCATAAACATTTGCAGGTCAGCCAGGATTTATACCCGAAGATGTTTCATTTAAAAACGGACAAACCAGTTGTTCTGCATACATGAACAGGCTCTAGAAAATTAACCATACAAAAATCCAACTCAATAAAACTCTTTATCATTTCATAATCAATGATGATTTTGTGAGAGGTTTATTGAAGCTGAATATTCTGAAATCTCAAGACTACCTGCCATCCCGTATGATTTTGAAGACTCCCGTCTGTGACAGATCTACAACGGTCGACCCCTGCCGAGACTCTGTTGTGTTTCCCAGCATTCCTCCGTCAAATACCAAATCTAATACCGGCCACAACTCGCGAAACTCCTGTAAAATATTCAAACCATTATTTTAATGTGTTGTTAGGTCCGCTCATTTAAAATACTTCTATTGTGTCTGTCTATGCTACATAAGACTCTTAACTTGTCACTTGGTTACATTAATATGTAAAACAGATCTATAATGTTATAACACCATTTTTTATTATTTTGTGTATATCGCCAAGCAAAAAATATTTTGTGTTTCCAGGGACACTACCTAAGTTTCAGTGCCTCTCTGAACTTTTTAGTCAATTTTCAAAGAAGCAATTGTATGTCAAGGTCACTCTCCTATCCTATATAAGACATATAAAAGTATTTTTGAAAATAAAATTTGCTACCAAACCTATATTTTTCATACATGTTACAGGAAACAAATGTTTTGGTTGATTGACCTAGTGAAGATTTCATTAGACCAAACAATCAAATAATGTGTTTCAGAAGCCACAGAAGCACAGACACAGCATTGGCGGTTGATATTCTAATAATAGCTAGAACTAAAATGTAAGTAAACATAAAACAACAATATACCATGTGACAGACTTACTCATGCTATTTGTGTCTTTAACATTTTTTATCATTTCTAGATCTAGCTGTTATGAAAAACATGTCATGGTAAAGGAAAATTCTTTAATGTATATTTTGTACAATTTTTATTTTGATTGTTTAGAAATAGGAAAACCTTTCTAAAAGAGACACATTTTACGTATGCTACGTAATAACAGCATGATACAGATGTACCATTCTTATACACCTTTCTTTTCATGGCATCTAACTTCAAGAGATTTAAGAAAAATATCACGGTTCTTTAAAATTTTCCTTGGGATAGAACAGTTAGCTATTTGTAAAATTCTCACCTCTACTGACACAGTGCTTGGACAACAGCTTATGTTAGCACTGGTCAGGGCAATCGGTTCCTGACACGCCCTGGCCAGGGACCTGATGAACTGTTGGTCAGGTATTCTGATCCCTATAAGGGGCACATCAGGGTTCAAACTAGGGCTCAGGTCATCTGTCCTCCGGAACACGACAGTGACAGGGCCAGGGAGCAGTTCCGACAGTAACTCCCTTGATACAGTAACATGACCCCACCTATAGAAAGTTACATCACAATTCAGCTATAGGAAAAACAAGATTTATTTCCTTGTCCTAATACATAAATCGTTTACACATCTATGGAAGTTACTTGAAAATAAGTGTAGTTTTTTGCTTGTAAAGTTTTAAGTTTCTTTCAAGAACTATTAAGGCAAGAAATATATCATATTACCTAAATGTCTTACCACCTTCAGCAATATAAAGTAATAACTACACAGAGTTATTGAAAGCTACATGTACATGCAGCCAAATATTTTTAAACCATTCACTGCTGTACAGATTTTGAAGTAGGTGTAGCTCATCTGTCTTCAAAGGACAGGTATCTGCCTAATGATTGGTCAGGATTTAAAAACTTCAACCAATCAAATTGCTTCCTCATTTTGTCAGGACATATTCCAGGGGTACCGGTGCAGAAAAGATATGTATTATTAAGAGATATGCCATTGGATTTTGAGGATATTGTGTAACATGCATACAATTTACCTGTACACGTCATCTATATCAGCAACACTGATAGCGATAGGTTTTTTCACGTCTCTGTTTTTCAGCTGATAGATTCTACTGGTGGCATCATTTCTCTGTGCTAGGCCTGCAACTCCATATATGGTGTCTGTCGGTACTGCTATAATGTTTCCAGATTTAAGGCTTTGTGTTGCCAAGGAAACCAAGTACTGCAGATCTAAAATTTAAATATTGAATACATTATATTAAAAGTTGAAGTGAGAATTATTAAAATCAACTGGAGTGTATGGAACAAATAGTTCCTGGTGTAAAATGAGATCTGTATTAATAAGTAAATCGGCATATAGTTATATACATTTTAATGAGGTCGGCGCTTCAGTTATATGTATCATCTTATCTTGGTATCTTATCGGATATATACCATTGTAATAATAATTGTTAACTAACGATCTCTGATATAATTGTAATCAGTACTGTAGTCCTCGGAAACCTACTCTACTTTAAACTGCCGACCTCGGATACATAAATAAATAAAACTGTAATTAAAACTGTCAACTGCCGACCTCGGATTCATATTGTAATCAATATTGTAGTCCTCGAATACCTACGCTACTTGAAACTGCCGACCTTGGATACATACTGTAATTACATATTGTAATCAATACTGTAGTCCTCGAATACCTACGCTACTTGAAACTGCCGACCTTGGATACGTACTGTAAATATATATTGTAATCAATATTGTAGTCCTCGAATACCCACGCTACTTGAAACTGCCGACCTTGGATACATACCGTAAATATATATTGTAATCAATACTGTAGTCCTCGAATACCTATTCTACTTAAAACTGCCGACCTTGGATACATACTGTAAATATATATTGTGATCAATACTGTAGTCCTCGAATACCTATTCTACTGGAACCTACCGACTGCTGACCTCGGATACATACTGTGATTAAAACTGTCAACTGCCGACTTCGGATAGATCTTATAGGTCATGAAATTTATTAAATGTCATGTTATCGGCACGGTCAGCAGTCTAAGGGAGATAACTCATAAAATTCACTTCATTTTCATTTTCATACACTACAACTAAGTTTATTTCACTGTATGAATATTTCATGTGCAATCATTTACAATCCCGTACTATTTGTTCTGTATACTCCAGTTGAGTCAAAAGGTTTTATATCATTGGTGCAAATTTAAGAAACAACACATAGAGTGACCAAAGTCTTATTTTCAAGAACAATCACTTCATAAACTCAGGTTACTCTGCCTAATCCTATGAACATAAATGAAAAATATAATATAGTGGTACTAATTATTTGTTAAAGGATTATTCATACTTAAATTATAAGTTCCTTTGATTTTTTTTTAGAAATGGTAACAAAAATGAACATCCCAGAGGGCTGAACCATAACGGTTTAAGGAAAATTTAAAATAATCTTCTTAATCCAATTTGTGTGTGTTGTTTAAATAAATTATAATGCTTGCACAAAGTTGCAATGTTCTTTATGATGTTGAAATATTTCCACAATAGACCAAAAATAATTTCTATTTGATGATATATATATATGTAATTGTGATGTGTGGTAACACATGCATTTATAGAAAATACAATGAATTGGGACAGTCCGGCCAGACCAACATTCGAACCTGGGACCTTATGCACTAAACAAATGACCTAGGTACCAGGCCCAGTCCCACTACATTGACACATGCACCTCCTTTTTCTATGTATTTGCTCCAAAGATCAATTTAAGACGATTTTCTGCTTAAAATATGGTACAAGATATGAACAGATGAAACCCCTTACAATAATACATTTATTCAGCTTAGTACTTACCATGGCTACTTATGTCGACAACCTTAGCCATTATTGAAGAAATTCCACACGCTGTTGATTTCTTCAAAATATTTAGTACGTTTTTAATTAGAACCATGTCATGACTGCTAAATTACAGCATGTTTCATCATCTGGAAGCGGCCATATTTACTCATCATTCTGGTCTTTTGGATGTTTTAATAGTAGGTACAGTAGAACGTATTAGATTAGGAGCAAAAAAGTGATAATGATCAGAGCGGAAGACGAGGAGTTCCCAATGAATACATGGGGAAGTATGATAACTTCAGAGAAGTTCCGTATTCACCTCTCCACATGTAAATATCATTCAAAATGTCAACTTCTCTCAACACTAGACTACTTCAAAGACTGCTTAGACGGAACTTGGGTGTTTCAACATGTGTATGCAAGAAAGATTCGACAAGATACTTGGCAACATCAAAACATGTTTGTTCCAGTGACATTGACAAACCGTCGCCGAGCAAAAATCCAGGCACCCTTCGAGACAGGTTGATCGACAACCCCCTTCCCTTCAAGTCTTTCCTTACCGGAGCAGCCCACAACGATTATGTGTCAACTTACACTGAAGAAGTCCCTTATGCTCCTATACAAATACACGAGAAAGCAAGAAAAGGTGACGACTTGCTCTATTAATAATTTAAATTATAACAACACATTACAAGTTAGCCCGAGTTTCCTCTGGCGCTGACACCAGACTTGGACATTTTGACATATAGCTAGGTGTCTGGTGTGGGGCAAGAGCCCACTGCTACATTGTATATGAAAACGTGAAAATGTCCGACACCGTTTGGTGTCAGAGAGTTTTGAGGTGTCGACAACAAAAAACGACAATGACACAACCCATACATCACAATTACATTGTATATTGAGAAATGGATTATTTATTGATCCAAATCTGCTCTTATTATCACCAACAGCAGCTAAATTCCGTCAGTAGAGTCCTATCCTGACCTACCAGCACATTTGGATCCATTTATGGATATATGTGTTGTGGGTAACGGCAATCTAATTAAAATTATATCTTCACTTCGCTCCCGTTTACTGATATGTCGCGTTGAAGATCTAACAACATCCCGTAGAGGGTCATGTTCAGGCGACCTTTGCATTAACCAATCAGATGAGAGCTTACGCATTTCTGTAAGTGATGATGTAATGATTTCGGAACACACTTGCTATGATAAAAGACCGAGAGGTGTCAAATGAGCATCGAAAATGGCGGCGCCCATGACACCACGCCGTGTCTATCTACAAGTCAACGTTTGTACAATTTGTGGATTTTGCTTTGAAATAAGAGAGACTCCCTCTTCTGGTGATGTTGTCGTTAAAAAGTTTAACAACCTGAAACTCAAATTAACCAATGACAGGCTTCGCAATATTCAAACTATCACTGGAGACGATTTTAGGCTACGAGGTGTCTGCATTAAATGCTACAGATCCTGCTTTCTGATTGGTTGAAAGGAAGAGTTATGTCGCGTTTTGATTGGCTTGTTATAAATACGATAATGTATTCATGTTGACCTCTGACGTGACCCTCTATGGGATGTTGTTAGATCTTCAATGCGACATATCAGTAAACGGGAGCGATATGAAGATATGATTTTAATTAGATTGGGGTAACGGGTTGTTTCGCCCCAAATCCCGTTCGCCCTAAGGGTTGTTTCGCCCCAAATCCTGTTCGCCCTAAGGGTTGTTTCGCCCTAGGTTTTTATGCCCTAAAAAAAATATCATGTTAAAAGTTCAAAAACTTATCTTTCTCTTGAATAACTCCAATTAGCAAAAAACAACTCGGACGTGCGCAGAAATCAAGTAAAGAAAACATCGTCACACGGCGACGATTATGTGTACACTAAACTAAATGTTTTAACATGGAAAAATAATATTGTTGTATACCCCGCAATGTAATTAAAATTACACCATTTTTAGCTCGGGCCAAATGAACTTATGGCATGGTGCGGCGTCCGGCGTCCGTCCGGCGTCCGTCCGGCGTCAACTTTTTACTTTTAAACAACTTCTTCTCACTAACCAAAAGGCCTAGGGTGATGATATTTGGCCAGAAGCATGCTTGCATGAAGGGCTACCAAATTTGTTCAAATAAATTACCTTCATCAATTTTCAAGGTCACAGGGGTCAAATATGTTAAAATCTTTTAAACAACTTCTTCTGAATAACCAAGAGGCCTAGGGTGATGATATTTGGCCAGAAACATGGTTTGATGAAGGGCTTCCAAGTTTGTTCAAATAAATGACCTTGCCTTATATTCAAGGTCACAGGGGTCAAATATGTTAAAATCTTTTAAACAACTTCTTCTGAATAACCAAGAGGCCTAGGGTGATAATATTTGGCCAGTAACATGCTGGGATGAAGGGCTGCCAGGATTTTTCAAATAAATGACCATGACTTATATTCAAGGTCACAGAGGGCAAATATGCTTTAAACATTTAAACAACTTCTTCTGAATAACCAATATGCCTAGGGTAATGATATTTGGCTAGTAGCATGCTGGGATGAAGGGCTATAAAGTTTGTTCAAATAAATGACCTTCATCTTTTTTCAAGGTCACAGGGTCAAATATGTACTAAACCTTTAAACAACTTTGTCTGAATAACCAAGAGGCCTAGGATAATGCTAGTAACATGCTGGGATGAAGGCCTACCAAGTTCAAATGAATGACCTTGACATATATATTTTAAGGTCACAGGGGTCAAATATGTTTAAAACCATTGAATGACTTCTTCTTTATAAGCAAAAGGCCAAGGGTGATGATATTTTGCCATTAACATGCTCGGATGAAGGACTACCAAGTGAATGACCTTCACCCATATTCAAGGTCACAGTGGAATATATGTTTAAATCTTCAAATGATTTGTTCTGTATAACCAAAAGTCCAGAAGACTATAAACTCTGTTCAACCTAATATTATAATGTCCTTGTTCGACATTCAAGGTCACAGGTGTCATATGTTTAAATCTCTTAATAGATTCTGATGAATGAAACACTGATATTTTGCCTGCAGCTGTATTTCAGTCCACTTTTAAGATTACAAGTGTGAGATTAATACCAGGTGAGCGATGCAGGCCCATTGGGCCTCTTGTTGTGTCATTTCGCTATTTATTTCTAAAATTAAATTCAATATATGTTATCAACTTATCAGAGACGTATTATACGTCTCTGATGTTATAATGTGTGTCGGCGTGAGGAAAATAACGTATTCCGTTTTTTGCTTGACAATGTACTTATAATTACTATATTAAAAACAACACAAACACATTTTTTTTAATAAAACTGATTTTGTTGATATGGAAGACTAAGAAGACTTTATTTGTGACTTAAAACAAATATAAATGAAAGGAAATACCAAACAATGTTTCGCCCCAAATTTTTTGTTTTAGGGCGAAACAACCTAGGGCGAAACAACCCGGAACCATGTTGTGTCATAGTCAATTTTTGTTGTCAGCAAACTCAAAACTCTTCGACAACAAACGATGTCGGAGAATTTTACGTTTTCATATAACAGTGCGCTCTGGCCCCACACCAGACATCTATGAGACTGTCAAAATGTCTAAGTTTGATGTCAGGGCCAGAGGAAACTTGGGCTAATCACAAAAGACTAATGCTGAAGAGTTTAACGCCCCTTTTCACATCTCCCTTCCGAATCAAACGTACCATCTCTACCACAATGGGTCGACAATGACAGGGGTTTGGAATTCTTGATGTTTCGGTATCCATTAGTTTTTTGGTACCCAAGAATAGGCAAAAGTGTTTGAAAGTCTGACTTTAAATTGAGATAAAAATAATATAAAAAAATAAGGGTATTACAGTACATTTCAACTTATATCACGTCTGTTAATGTCACTTTTCGGTTATTTTCATGTTTTGTTGATGCACCGTTTTTCCTGCTATATAATCTATGCAATTCAATTCATTTATTATCACCTGATTTTATGTCGATTTCTCTTAATATCACTTTATTTTGGCCACTGTCACAAAAAAAAATACAGGTAAATGGTGGTAATGATTCATGATAAATGCCCTGGGGACCTTCTGTCACACCCTGGACGCATTATGTAAACAATGCCTCCGCCTAACAGGGTATTTTTTACACCTGGCTGACTGTTAAACAATTGGTTACACCTGGCTGACTGTTAAACAATAGATTGACTTACATAGTTGTTAACATGATATTCACCTGTGGTTTGGGGAGCTAGGACAGTCTAACATCTGTAAACTTTTCTAATGCCAATGCAAGTGTGATGTATTCTTTCAACTAATTATAACATGTGTACTATCTTCGATTACACACTTGCAGCAAATAACTAAGGAAATTAACCTATAAAAAGATGTTACAAGCGAAAGAACAGTATATATATCAAGATATAGGTAAATATTTACCAAGTCTCATGTTTACAATTGAATTTGATGCAGAATACCAGCCAAACACTTGTATGCCTACATCACTACTGCAGTAAACAATCATAATTACAATCGTACTGATCGTCATTTTGCTACTAACTATATGAAATGTAACTGCATACTGAAATGAAATATAAATGATATATTTATTTCTATACTTATTTACTTATATCTATATTTCAATTAGGGTAAAGAACAAGGTTAGTTACAAAATATCAATCTTCTTCGTAGAGCCACATCACTTAGGCATTTGACTAAGTTCACTTCCGGTTTTGAGGGCTGAAAAACATCAGAAAATATGTATTCTGTTTATGTCATGTTTCTGTTAATATCATGTTTTTCTCTGACAAATGGGAAGTGATATTAAGAGAAATCTACTGTACTATAAAAAAAGTACAGTTATATACCCTTCTTTTTTACATGATTTTTATCTCAATTTACAGTCAGACCTTCAAACACCTTTGAAAAAGGATATTTCATGATGAAAAATCTTAAAATACAATGTATCTCAGCAATACACAAGATGAAAATGCAAACAAAGATCAAAGTGAAAGTTAGTTAAAGTGCCGAAAGCTTCATAAAATGTCTGAACAACATGTTTGAAGTACCGAATCTTCTTATCGATCCTCTGCGACCATGTTACCTAATTAATAGAGCATCTTTCTAGAGTTTTTTGGGGGTCCCAGCTGCAAATCCTAGTCTGGTCGTCCGTGCATTTATTCTTTCTCTTACAAAATTGGCCTGCTTGCCAACCCTTGTTTCAAGCACTGAGTGAATGCTCAAGGCAAGATGTTACCCAAACCAGGGTATATAGTTGTGTCTTCGGGGGTGAAGACTTAAAAGAGACAGGAGGAATGTAGCGGAACTGGACTTAAGCTAGGTCAATTGTCAGCAACAAGGTAGCTCAATAAAATTGGATTGAATTCTGTCTCGATTTCGGAGGGTCCTGGGTTTGAACCCCAGTCTGACTGTGTATTTTCACTTTCTCCTGTTACAAATAGGTGAGCTTATATACCAACTCTTGTTTCAAGCAGATTACCGTCTGAAACATCTGTAACCCTAAAAATAAGATAAGATTAAGAAATATAGGCTGTAACAATTTACAGGTTACAGGGCTGTGTTGGTACAGAGATGTTTATAGAATTGTAGGTACGGAATTGTTTGAGACGTAATTACAGTAAAAAAATACAGTACAAAAATACTGAAATTGCCATCTGATAATCATCTAATAATTATCAAAGATAAAACAACCCCAAAACTCATCATTTTTTTCTCTTTCAATAGATGATAATTAACATCTATTTTTTCAAGTGTCTCTCCATTGCATGGTATTTATTTGTTTTACAGTGTACTTTGAAACCTATGGTTGCCAGATGAATGTGAATGATACAGAAATAGCAATGGCCATCCTGGAGAAAAATGGATTTGAAATGACCACAAATGTGCAGGCAGTGAGTGATCTAAGATAAAACTAAGAATTACATAATTTACAAAACGTGTATACATTAATAATGATTATGTACATGTGATAATTAAGGAGACACTTTGACTAGTGAAATTTGAATAATATTTAACATGGAAAAAAATGATATTATGATTTTTAAGAAGTGAGCTAAATTTATTAAACTCATTCACCCCTAAAGACACATTTGAACTCTTCCCATTCAAAGACTGGAATAGTTCATTATAAAATTTCAGGGGTGAATGAGTTAAATTTCATAAATATTATGCTGAATAAAATATGTGTGTTTAGGGTTCCAGACTGAGCCACAATCAAGTATGTTATATTATGACCTGTGAGTATGGTAGAGTAACATGTCTTTCCCACTGTTGCTGACAAGTACAGTTTTGTATGCTTGACTCAAGAAGAGCACATCTTCTACATGTATTCCCATTGTCGTCATAGCTGTATTAAGCAATAATAACTCCAACCCTACCTATACATTTCAACTTGTAACCCTTATCACTTTTATTTTATTTGGCAATTATATAGAATGGAAAGCGACGTGATCAGATCCTGATGTACTACAATATTCTATAGCGATACTGTATAGGGTAATATTGTTGATTAAGTCTAAATTTGTTGATACTTTGACCCGCCTTTATTGTCTGCGTAATGTAAATGTTAAAGGACACAAAGTCTTCTGTTGAAAAACTGAAGCTGATACAGAATCTCAGAAACAACAGTGAGGGTGTGCTTATAGAAACAACAGTGAGGGGGTGCTTATAGAAACAACAGTGAGGGTGTGCTTATAGAAACAACAGTGAGGGTGTACTTATCGGGGCTGGTGTGCTTATTAGGTTGAATGTAAGATGGTTTTATAACACAACATAACAGCTTCAGAATGTATTGCTAAATCAAATGAAAAAAGCATGTCACTGCAACAGTGATTATCGCAAAGACGATTCCAGTTCAGAACTGTTTCTTTTAGTAATCTCCCTTATCTAATGACAATTTAGGGACATAAGATGATTTCCTTTTGGCTTGGAGTTGATTCCCTTTGCTAGATATTCATCTTTCATTATGATACTCTGCATTTATAATTCCTAGATAGCAACATTGGTCAAGTGTAGCATTGACAATAGATAGGTCACCTAGTTTGACTCCTGACTCTTTTGTATTTTGTATTTGTTTGTTTTTATATTTGTTGCAAAATACTTGAATTTTAAACAACTGTGATTCTGTAAGCTCGACTGCTTTACCAGGTGTGTTTTATATAATATGAACATATATCTGTTTCAGGCCGATGTCCTGTTCATGATGACCTGTTCTATAAGAGAGGGTGCAGAACAGAAGATCTGGAAACGTCTTGAATACTACAAGTCACTGAAAAAAAAACGATCTTCCATGAAAATCGGAATATTAGGTTGATACAAAACACTGAAATAAAAAAAGGATTATCAAAAAGTATTCTTATAGAAAGCATACATTTCAGAATCGTTAAAGAATGTGACAGTGTTATGCTTGAATCACAATGGGATAAGATGTTTAGAGAGTATACTGTTGTTGATTTGTCATGATCAATTGCTTATCCAGATATTAATCAGGGAGGGGGAGCAGTAATATGTTTTCAAATATGGGAACAATGGGAAAATTTATGTTTTTGAAAGAAAATTCCCAGTTTAGGGATTTGCTTAAGTCCAAAAATCCCCTCTAGATACATGCCATTGCTTGAAATAATAAACTGTACTTGTACGGATAGGGGCAAGTACATGGTGTGTTTAAATATTACATGCAAATTTAACTTGATAATCAATTATTAATATGTAAGTTAATATAAGAAAGACATAGGTTGTCGTGACTTTTGTCCATGTTGACTCGGATTGTTTGAACTACTTTAATTTTTGCGGGTATAATTTCGTGTAATTCCAACAGGATTAACAACATCTATAAATTTTGTTCGATCTGACCAGAGGTTTACCGTAATTAGATGTTAACTCATTTACCCCTGAAGACACATTTGGAGTCTTCAAATTCAAAGGTTGGAATAGTCTATTATGAAATTTCAGGGGTGAATGAGTTATAAGGATCCATATCCCACTGCAGACAAGGCACAAACTAATTACACTAGTCTTGTTTTTCATATAATAGGGTAGTGCCCCTTAATTTCATTTTGGATATATAACTGAAGTGGGGTTAGGCCAGGGAACTACAAGTGACCATATGTTTATGCTGCCCAGTTGGTTAGAATGACTATGGTGATCAGAAATCCATGCAAGGTTCAATCAGATGCTGGTCTGGCCCAACAATTGGTTATGTTATTTTCAGAACACAGTTGTTGCTTTCTTTTTTCCGTTTATATCATCCTATTTTTTTTTATAAAGTTCCACAAGGTATACCTATATATGAAGGTTATTTTCAGACATGAATTATTGAAGCTATTATCCTACACTCAGTAAAAATATTCCAATTTATCTTCACAGTTTTAGGTACATGTAGTGGTACGGGGATCCTTAATTATAAGTTGTAATTATGATGCTCATCTATAAAATGTCCTGTAAGAAATCAGTTAACATAATAAGAAATGGTTATGAAATATCAAATTGTTCAAAATTAAGGAACACTTCAGTAGGAGAAATGGCTCCATCATAAAAATATATCTTCAGTGGATCATGAGGTATGCATATTTATTAGCTATTATGTAAACATTAATATCTAAACCTCAGAAAACAGAATTTCACCTGGGTTAATATTATAAGACTCTTTCAAGGGTGTAAGATAGGCAAATTCCACCTGAGGGGTTTTCAAATTTGATAAAAACCTCACCTGAGGCTCAGAAACCCTGAAATTTTGTTAGGAATGAATACCTACCATTTTGAAAATATCAACTTTTCTCCCTGAGGTTTTTGACGAAAACCCCATATTTGCAAGCATAGTTTGCACAGACAAAAAAAAATCTCATCTTTCTATTTGTACAGTCAATATATTGTAAAAGGTATTATTTTCAAAATGTAGCCTTTCCCGCATTGCGACATCAGACGTTTCCAAAGTCATGATGTCATGTCCTTGTTGTCAGCAATTGTGACGTCACCTCACATAAAACAAGGTGTAAAATAGAAATTTATTATACCACTTTCTTACCCTGGACAGCTCTAACTTATGCTCACGAAAACGAGAGAAATATGTATCTATATATAGTGAGCAGAATCTATGATTATTATGATGAAAGTTCAAACTAAGTTAATTTCAAAGTTAATTTCAAAGAACATGTGTAGTATGTTATTCAATACATAATAATTGCTGATAAAAACCTTACTTGAACAGATTTATTAATATATTGTTGTACAGCAAAATTTTGATCAATTTCACTTAAGGAGTCTCGTACTATTGCCAAAAAATGTAACTATGCATTTGAAACTGATTTTTTTACCAGCATAACTCTGAGCTTTGATAAATAATTTCAGAAAAGAAATCATACTTTGTGGGACTTTTATGAAATAAAATGATATACATGTAGATGAAATAAACAGAAATAATAACATGTACTACATGTAGCTGAGAGTAAAAATTCAGCAAAGCTAGACCAGGATTTGAACCCATGGTCTAAAATTGTTATACTGTTGCTTTCACCAACTAAGTTACATGTCAACATGCTCTTTAACGACTGCTCAACAGTTACCTGTGTATATCCAGAGAATGAAATTAAGGGGAGGTAACTACTGTATATACAAAAAAAAAATGTGGAATTCTCAAGTGTTTTGCCTGCAGTGGGACAGATTCTTATGACATTTTTTTTTCTTTCGAATTTTGAACAACTTTAATTCTGTAACAGCTCTACTGCATTAACTGGTGTGTTTTATATAATGTGGAATACATCTGAATTAATTACGTAATCTGCAAAGAAAGTTGACCTATTTCAATATCATAACTACATGTAAAATAAATAGTATTTGATGGACATTTTCATCAGGGTGTATGGCTGAGAATCTGAAGAAGAAGATCATAGAGAAAGACAAACTGGTGGATATCGTGTGCGGTCCTGATGCTTACAAAGACCTCCCTCGTCTACTGGACGTCACATCCACGGGCCAAGCAGCTGGTACAATGTTATTCATGTTGTCAGACGTGTCATATCATATCTTTTGATTATGAATATAGTGTTACAACCTGTTTTAAGGATATGAAACACGCAATCTTGTGTTGATACAACATGATGCTATATATGGTGTATTACCCCCGTAGCCATAACTCCGTCTTGATTGGATCTCATCAGTTATCTATTGATCAAGTGACAAATTAAAACCAGAATTGATCCCAAACATTTATGCCCCCATTTTCACAATATATATGGTCATTGTCGTGTTGACTGCCATTGTGTTTAGTTTTTGTGAAGGAGATTGAACATTGATATGGGTTACTGATGTCCCCTTAGACGTAGGTTTGTTTATGTGAAGGAGATTGAACATTTATATGGGTTACTGATGTCCCCTTAGACGTAGGTCTGTTTATGTGAAGGAGATTGAACATTGATATGGGTTACTGATGTCCCCTTGGAC